AAATGGGGCCCAGGACACGTGGTGGAGGTGGTGGGAACTCCTGAGATAAACCACTCAATGTCACCCTCTACTCAATATTTTTATACTGGGGAACTTGAGTTAAGATGAAATTTAAGATAACAAGTGATTTTAGAGTCAGTAAATAGGCAAAAACTGTATAAATGGAGGGATGATTTGAGAGTTGGAAAGGACATTTGGAAGCGTTGCCTTGCTCGGGCAGTTTTGGGGTCACAGTATGTGTGCACATCAGGTGAGTCCTCCGCCTTAAGTACCAACTACTAGCACTTCTTTTTTTCCATTCTCTGCCCAGTTGTTGGGGCTGGGCCTGGGCGGGGGCAGTGTTCATTGTATTAGATGGGCCTCTCTGGAAAAATGAGGAGGAATCAGCAGAGACTTGGAAGATAATAGTGACAGGTTGAAGAGGAAGGGAAAGGATTGCGGGGCTGGAGCATCAGGCTCTCTGTACCAAATCTGAGCAGCTGTTGTGAAAAGGGCTATACATATGGGATCGTAATGAAATATCTGTCAGAGTTTTGGGGCTTAGGACCTCAGGTTTGTTTTGTGCACTGTCTTTTGGAGTATGTCTCCTGCTAATTATAACCACATGTCTGTGTGATGCTTGGTTCTCCTGCAGCCGATCCTTTCCCCCACCTCCCACATTCTTGATGAGCTCTGTGACTCAGCGGCTTCTCAGGGCATCTGAGCAGCCTTTCCCCCCCCCCCCCCCACACCCCGCCGCCTCGCGAGCCAAACACGCCGTTTTTTTTTTTGTAACCATAATTCTTCTTTTTATTCTTCCCTTTTGGTACATGAGGGTCTTCTCCTTCCCATGGTCTTATGCAAATGGGAAGCCCCCTCAACAAAAATAGGCTGTTGGAGGATTGTAGAAAGAGAGTCTTATCTAGCCTCTGACTTGAGAAAAAGACAGGCACTGATTAATCCTGTGGGCTGAAAAGGGAGCATTTGAAAGCCTGCATGACGTTGGATGCCTTGGATGCCGTCCTTACCGACTGGGTCCAGAGATAGGCTTTGTTATCCCACTGTCTGCAGTTTATTTGCTTTTTCTCTTAGAAATGTCCCAGGAGCAGCAACAGCCTTGAAACCCCTAGAAATTCTGTCTCTCTGGTTGGGCTGGCATCAGGGAAATTTGCTGAGTTTTCTTAGGGGACGAGTGAGCTCCCTTATCCTGACCAGACAGCTGCACTCTCACCAAGAGGCTGACCCAGCCTTTCTGTGGGGGACTCCTGTTTTCCCCCTTTTTCCTGGGAGGAAGCTGCATCCCCAACCAACAGCGGGCCTCTTGCCTTCCCATCTGTGACCTAGTGTCTGTGAGAAGACAAAATTTCTCCCCTGGTGTTTGTTCCTAACTCCTGGCTAATATCTACCTTTTTCCCTTTCCTGTACTCACACTTGCTCCTTTGTGAAACTGAAGCTGGGATGGAAGCTTAGTTCAGGAAGGCACTGAGAAGTAAGGGCTCTGGCTGCAGGTATCTGACTGATATGAGGCTATTTGTGTAGGATGTTCATTCTTTCAATTACAGGTGGCCTCTGCTCAATTACAGGGGTAACAGCAAAATGAACTAAGTGAAGCTGGGGCTGAGGGATGTGCCCTGCCATGAGGTTCCAGGAGCCTCTCAGATTAGTTCCTTGGTCCTTTCATGGATCTAGAGGGGCTGCTCTTTATGACTGAATTCTGAGATAGTTTCTTTATATATAAAATTAGGTTATGACCTACTTTCCAAGGCTATTGTGAAGAGTAATAATAATATCTAGTGTTTATGAAGTGCTTAATGTGTGCCAAGCACTTAAATCTCACCAAAATCTTATTAGGCGCAGGTACTGTTATTACACCCCTTTTATAGGTGGAGAAACTGAGTTGCAGAAAGATTAAATAGTTTGCGGTCATGAAATAAGAAGCCAGAACAGGAATTGGAACCCACGCCCCTGACTGACCCAAAGCCTAGGCTGATATCTTTTATGTATGTAAAGTTGCCCAATGCTCTGCTTGGCACATAAAGAGCCTCAGGAAAGTTAGGTGACACGTGTTAATGGGTTTCCATGACTGCTTATGGAACGAGATCAATAGAGATTTCCAGAGTTTGGTTGGGGTGGAACATTTGGTGCCCTGGGGAAGGAAGCCGGCGAAAGTGCTACCCCAACTTCTCGCAGAGGTGAGTCGAGCCAGAGTGAGGTTCCTGCAGGTCCTGAGGCAGGGTCCTTCTTCTGACTGGCACCTCCCTC